CAGAAGATAGGGAAATGGGTTTATTTCCTATCACAGTGCCTAAGATGGCCCACACTTAACCATACACACATACATTTTGGCACTTTTTAAAAAGACATACTGTTTTTTAGTATGTGTATGTCTCTGTGTGTCTGTGTGCACATGAGTGCACTGCCTTTGGAGACCAGAAGGGATTGAATTCCTCGAACTGGAGTTACAAGCGGTTGTGAGCCACCATATGAATGGTGGAACTGAATCCAGGTCCTCTGGAAGGACAGCCAGTGCTCTTAACTCCCGAGTCATCTCTCCAGCCCCTGTTTTGGCACATTTTACAAAACATGTTAAATTGCCTTATTTTGCCGGGCAGTGGTGGCTCATGCCTTTAATCCCAGCACTGAGGAAGCAGAGTCAGGCGGATCTCTGTGAGTTCGAGGCCAGCCTGGTCTACAGAATGAGATCCAGGACAGGCACCAAAACACAGAGAAACCCTGTCTCAAAAAAAAAAAAAGCCTTATTTTATTAAAATTGTTATTTATGGGAATTCCTCTCTATTATTAGTTCATTTTTTTTCTGGTCTTCTAACTTAGAGACAAATAATTTATTATTTTATCTAACTATACAAATTTACTTCAAGGATTCTTCTAAACTTTTATGCTGTGAAAAATATTACTATTTGTTTTATGCCCTTCACCATTTTTAGTTTTTTTTTTCTTACTTGACTTTGTTTCAGTACTAGAGAATCAAACCCAGGGCCTCGCACATGCTGCAAATATTCTCTGCCACTGAGCTGACCCCACAGCCCCACTCAGAAATCTGTTAATTTCTATCTTTCTTTTCTTCTCCATGCTTCTTTTATATCTCCATGCTTCTTTTATATCTCTCCATCTTGAATAATGAATGCTCTCCAGGCTGGAGAGCTGCTCAGTGATTAAGAGCCTTAACTCAGGTACAAGGCAGCCTTTTGTTTTTTTCCTTAAAGATTTATTTATTTATTTATTTATTTATTTATTTATTTATTTATTTATTTATTTATTTATTTATTTATTATGTATACAGTGTTCTGCCTGCATGTGTCCCTGAAGGCCAGAAGAGGGCACCAGATCTCAATACAGGTGGTTGTGAACAGCCATGTGGTTGCTGGGAATTGAACTTAGGACCTCTGGAAGAGCAGTCAGTGCTCTTAACCGCTGAACCATCTCTCCAGCCCACAAGGCAGCCTTTAAGGCTGCAGAGCTCATAGAGGCTGGGAGGTAGCCTTGTCCAGTAGTGCACTGGAGAGGACACTGGAGTAAAAGCGAATAGCCTTGGAACAGAAGTTCCACGGTCACAGTAAGGCACTCAGTAAATCCTAATCCCTAGTCCTCAGCTTCATCACTTTAATAGTTGAGACTTAAGTACCTGCCCATCCTCAATCACAGGAATCATACACAGCTTATATGTGGTGAAATTGGCTAGAAGGCTTTGGAGATTTCCGGGCTCTAGTTTTACTTTATTTTATTTTTGGGTTTTTGAGACAGGGTCTACCTATGTAGCTCTGTGTGTCTGGAACGCACTGTGTAGTTCACGCTGATGTGGAACTCACAGAGATCCACCTGCCTCTGCCTCCTGAGCTGGGATTAAAGGTATACACCACCACACCTGGCCCCAGGGTCTAATTTTAAAGGTGTTTTTGTTTGTTTTGTTTTTTTGCCTAGACAGGTTTTCTCTGTGTAACACTGGCTATCCTGGAACTCCTCGCTCTGTAGACCAGGCTGGCCTGAAACTCACTGAGATCCTGCTGGCTCTTCTGCCTCCTGAGTGCTGGGATCAAAGGCGTGCACCACCACTGGCTTAAAGTTCTCTTAGTAGTTTGCATGTTCTTATCATCCATATCCAAATAGCAGTCCTCACAGACGTCTATTAAACAATTTCTTCCTGGTTACAAAATAAATCCTATTAGCTTCTCTCAGCTCCCAGGTTTGTTTTTTTCTTCTTACGTAAGTAAAATGTATTTATTTGTAGTCTGTTGCTTCTGATCCGGTGACTGTCTCTTTGCTGAACTATTCTCCTGGTGTGGTTTCCTGTCTGTGGATGTTTAACATTGTAGTCTGTTGTCTCTGCTGCTGTCACAGATGGCCCCGGGAGCTTTCAACAGCATTTCAATGGCGTTTGTACTTAGATTCTCTCATCTTTCGCCATTCTTTCTGTACATACCACACGCCTCATCCATCAAGCTAGGTCAGCGACTTGTATCTGTTCTGTCTGATTTTTGAAGCTGCCTTGTATTTCATCAGAAATATCCACCCCCAGGGCGTTACGTTTCCAGCTATGCATGCCATGTGGTCTTCCTGGGCTCCCCCTCTTGAGAGAAGCAAGCTGCTTACCATTTCCTACGCAGGTAAGATAACTATCCTGATAAAGCGTTTGCACGTACCAGCCTTGAGAAAGGTACACGCATGCCAGAAGCACTCAGTGTAGGTGCCTCTTCCTGGGGGAAATAACCTTCTAAGGGTACAACTTGACTCTCAGTTTTTCTCTTTGGCTCAGGAAGAAAATAATCGGCCATGGTTGAATAATACCATTTCCTCTACATACTACCATTTATCTCAAAATATGTTGTCTTTTCAAATGTTGGAATTTATAAAATAGTTCAGTCGATGGAAAAATTGGTTTTGTTCTTTAATTGTGATTTTGTTGTTGTTTTTGTTTGGTCAGTTGGTTTTGGGTCTTGTTTGTTTGTTTGTTTGTTTGTTTGTTTGTTTGGAGACAGGGTGTCACTATATATCTTGAGCTGGCCTGGAATTCACTATGTAGACGAAGCTACCCTTGATCTCATAGAGATCTGCCTGCTTCTGCTTCCCAAGTCCTGGGACGAAAAGCGTGCATGTGTTTCTGTGTGCACATGCACATGAGTACAGATGTCCACAAAGGCATCAGACCCCCTGGAGCTGGAGTTATAGGCAGCTGTGAGCTGCCTGGTGTGGTCACTCGGAGTTGAATTCAGGTTCTGTAGGAGAAACAGTATGTGCTCTTAATTTTATGTGTGTGTTGTGTATGTCTGGGTGTGTGCGCCATCATTACCGGGGCATCCCCTGACAAGACGGCAGTGCCTGTGGGTGGGTAAAGGAGGAAATAAACCTCATGGAGCTAATTTCGGGGAACAGCATCTACTTTATCGCACATGAGCAACCACTGAGATATTGGAAGCCTGTCGACTGTGACTGGTTAGCACACTACCTCGGACTGGACAGTGAGCGCTCACACCACCAGGGTCTCTGTGTGGAAGAAGTACATTCAAGGAGACGTAAAGAGGGCAGGCTAGTACTTGGTGACCGTACAGTTAGTTTTTCAGGCTTTATCTCTGCGCCTTTCCTTTACCCACGTGAAGCTCCCAGAGCCATTGTCCACTTTCCTGTTCATCCTGTTACTGCTTCCTGTTCTTGTTTGGTTCTTGGTTTTGGTTTTTCGAGACAGGGTTTCTCTGTGTAGCCCTGGCTGTCCTGGAACTCTCTCGGTAGACCAGGCTGGTCTCGAACTCAGAGATCCACCTGCCTCTGCCTTCCAAGTGCTGGGATTAAAGGCATGCGCCATTGCACCCAGCTGTCACTACTTTCTTATTTCTTATTGTCTTTCTTAGTTGCTCTGGGACTGAATCTTAGCCATGTTTTCAAAGTCTGGTTGCTGTTCCGTACATCTTTCCCTCACTTTGAGAGGTCAGAAATCACTGTCATATTTGAACTCTGCATTGCTCTGTGGTTCTTACACTTCCTAATATGGAAGCTATTGGTTTATATCTGTCTCCTACCTATGACTAGAATATGGGATCAAAAATAATGTCTAAGCCAGATTATGGTAACATATGTCTATAATTCCCATACTTCAGAAGTGGAGGCAGGAAGATTAGGAGTTCAAGGGCATCCTTAGCTACATCTGGAGATTAGGGCTGCCCTAGGCTACATGAGACCCAGTCTTTAAAAGTAAAAGTGGTTCACATCTGTAATCCCAGCACCTGGGAAACTGAGGCAAGAACATTCCTATAAATTTGAGGCAAGCCTCAGCTACATAGTGAGTTCACGACCAGCCTGGGCTCCAGGTACAATCCTGGCCCGGTTAAAGAAGAGAAAAAGACACAGACTGTCATTTCTCTCCCACTGCATTTAACTGAAATGTCTTCCATTTTCTGGTTAAAATGTATTGTTTATAAAACAATTGTTTATAGTATATAAAATTAAGAAAAACCTCGCTCTTACTTCAACAAGCGTGCCCATACCCAGTAGCCTCCATCAGCCTCTGGCGCTGTGCACCACTGGGCACAGTTGGCCTACTGATTGGTACCTCCCGTTCATCGACATCTGCGCAGCTGTAACTTAGGCAGCCGTACGAGTGCATGTGCTTCACATTTTCTAGAGCATGGCCCTGTGGGATTGTCTGTTCCCACGTAGCCGCTTCTAGTGCAGCAGTTCTTCCTGTCCCGTATCCTGTTCCCCACCCCTGAAACAGTAGCCCTTCTGTTTGCTCACCTCTCGCCAAGGCTCATCAAGTCTTCTCTGTCGATCCAGGAGCACAGCTTGGGACAGTAATCTCACTTCCTCTCTCTGGAATAATTTGCTTCTATATGGATTGGACCTACGTCTTCTATCTTTTTGGTAAGCATAAATTTTTGACCAAGCTATAATGTAAATTTAGAATGTAATAGTAGTGGACTACATTTAAATGTGAGTCTGTCTCCCAACTTTCTAACTTAAAGATTTCATAACTGAACATGGGAGTTCGTAAGAATTTAGTCAAGGGCTCCTGAACCCACAGTGACCAAACGTTAGTTCAAAGTCAGACATGTAAGGAATCTGAGGTGCTTCCGGCAGCACGGCAGACACGTTGTGTCACGTGACTTCACCACAGCCAAGGCTCCGAGGTAACGTGTGCTTTGGACATGCGTGCTGTGGCTCCCCATGATACTGATGAAGGCTGCCTGAAACACCTCAGCTCAGATTCGAGAGCACTGTATGTTTTCACTGTGCGTGCAGTTTTCTGCTGTTCTAGAAACATGATAGTTTATTATGGAAAACAAAAGACAGTCTTCTCCTGATGTAATTCTTCAGCATGTATCAAATCACTGTACCGTTGGACTGGATCTAAGTGTGTGATTTTAAGAATCACTGAGAGCCGAGCAGTGGTGGCGCACGCCTTTAATCCCAGCACTCGGGAGGTAGAGGCAGGTGGATCTTTGTGAGTTTGAGGCCAGCCTGGGCTACAGAGTGAGTTCCAGGAAAGGCTCGAGAAACCCTGTCTTGAAAAAAAAAAAAAAAAAAAATCACTGAGTTGAGAGTCATAAGAAAGAATCGTGATTTTTTTTTTTTTTCTTTTTTGGTATTTGGAGACAGTGTTTCCCTGTGTCATAGCCCTGACAGTCCTGACTGTCCTAGAACTAGCTCTGTAGACCAGGCTGGCCTCAAACTCAGAGATCCCCTGTCCCCAATGATTTTTTTATAGATATATAATCTTCTCAAGGTATATACAAAATGCTGTTGATATATTCAATTTTATTTAACTGTCATCTTTCTATTTTAAGGTATAATTGGAATAGTTTGGTTTATTTTATGGATGTGGCTAGTTAGTGATACACCAGAAACTCACAAGACAATCTCCCATTATGAAAAAGAATACATTGTGTCATCGTTAAAAAATCAGGTATGGCTTTGGTACATGTTAAAAATTAAGATAATCTTTGAAATAGAACTTTCAGTTACACATGTCTTAAGCAAATTAGGATAAGCAAATGAAATAAATGTCTAAAATACCATCTGGGGAAGTGCAATTCTTTCTACACTAAAACTAATTTCTTCTCAAGGTCATTCTAGGAACTAAGAGCATAAACAGCCATGAGTCCATCTGAGCAGACAAATACAACCTGAGGACAAACAAAGATGGTGCCATTATTAATGCCCTTGAATTGGGGAATTCTACCTTATGTGACTGTCCGGCAAAATCTGGGCTAACCCATTTATCAAATATTAATAGTTTAAAGTTGAATGGTGGTGGCACATGCCTTTAATCTCAGCACTTGGGAGGCAGAGGCAGGCAGATCTCTGTGAGTTCAAGGCCAGCCTGGTCTACAAAGTGAGTTCCAGGACTGTTACACAAACCCTTTTCCCAAAAAACAAACACACAAATATATTGCTAATTTAACATCTGTTTCAAAATAAAAATGAGTGTAAATAGAAATTCTCGTATCTTTTTAAATTAAGATTTATTTTTCTATTTTTAAATTATGTGTATTTGTCTGTGTATCAATATGCATGAGAGTGCATTTTCCATTGGAGGCCAGAGGTGTCAGGTCCCCAGAAGTTACAGAAGAGTGTAAGCCACCCAGTGTAGGTGCTGGAGACTGAACTCTGCAGGAGACATATGCACTCTTAACTGCTAAACCTTTTCTCCAACCTTTGACCTAGGGCATCACCCCCAGTACCCCTGCCCTGAAGGTCACGCCTGCACGTGGCTGCATAGAAAGCCCTCACCTGTTTTCATCCCTGAGATGGCGATGTTGCCCAGGCTAGCCTCAGACTCCAAGCTCAAGTCACCCTCCTGCTGAAACCTCCTGACTAGCTGAGGCTACGGGTGTGCAGCACCACACCCAGCTTGCACGGTTTTTAAATCTTTTATAAATCTTTTCAGTATAGCAAAGGCTGGATAGTGACATACAGATTCTAGTAAGACCTTCCAGTCTCTTTACTTTTCCCTTATGTCAATCAGCCTCTAACTGTGGTAATGACACTGTTCTCTCTTTTACAGAAGCATTCATATTTATAGCAGCATTGACACCTGTAGCTTCATGACAGTTATAACTCTACTATACTATATTTATCTTTTCCTCTAATCTCAGCCATAGGTCCTCTAGTTTATAGATTTAATGAAACAACTGAAATTTGTTAATTGCTTTGCTACTTAGCATTTCAAAGAAGTTGATTTTATGATCTAGAATGTACGACCAAGGTTGGTGTTCTGTGCTCTGGGCTGATTGTAGCTAATATGGCATGTGGTTGAGCTAATATGGCATAGGTCAACACAGCCGCAGCTTCTCCTAATTGAGCCTGTCTCCCTCAGCTCTCTTCCCAGAAGGTGGTACCATGGGTGTCCATCTTGAAGTCACTACCACTTTGGGCGATTGTCATTGCACATTTTTCCTACAACTGGACCTTTTATACGTTACTGACATTACTACCCACTTATATGAAAGAAATCCTAAGGTTCAACGTTCAAGAGGTAAGAGAAAATAGTCATCTACTTCCTGTGTAGAGAACATGTTTTCTGAACTGCACACACAATTCCTTTTCACCCAAATTAAATTCGGTCATTTCCTTCTGTGCTAGCTGGTTTTTATGTCCACAAGCTAAGGCATTTGAGAGGTGAGGGCCTCAGTGGAGAGGATGCCTCCTTAAAGAGCAGGCTGTAGGTAGCCCGTGATGAACATTACTTAAGTAAGTGAAGATGCCATTCTAATTTAGTCAGTACCAAATGAAAGTGTCTAGGGACACCCACATATTTGGGATGATAACTGTAGGTGAATGTTTGTAACTGTGACTCAGTGGTGCTTGTTTATAGGAAGAGGTGGAGTTGAGACTAGTCTGGACAGGGCTTCTGGGTAGCTGGCGATGCTCTACTTGTCATAACTGACTTTTGAATCTCCAGCGTATTAAACTATGCATTTGATTTTGTAATAAAAATGATTTTAAATAAAATTTTGGAGACTAAAACTGTTCTGGAGCTGGGGGTGGGTGCACAGACTAGGGAGGTGGAGGCAAGAAATAAAAACAGCTTGTTCTCTGTGAAGCAGTGCAGGCTGATTGCAAGACTTTCCAAATTTAAAGTAGCATCCTGGGTTGGGGATTTAGCTCAGTGGTAGAGCCCTTGCCTAGCAAGCACAAGGCTCTGGGTTCGATCCTCAGCTCAAAAAAAAAGTAGCATCCACGATGACCTGGAGCTGACAGTACTGTCTCCCCGTGAGACCAGCTGTCACAGGGATGGGTAAACTGAGTTTTGAGATCCCTGCAAATGCCAAACGTACTTTCTGTGATATATGAACATTATCAACATGTTGCTCCACCATATGTGTGGTGTTTTCAAGTAGTCAGGGTTGGCTGTGACTCATGTGCGTGTTCTACCATAACTAATCCTGTCTCCCCTCCCCACTTTCAGAATGGGATTTTATCTGCATTGCCTTATTTTGGCTGTTGGATATGCATGATTCTCTGTGGCCAAGCTGCTGATTATTTAAGGGTCAAGTGGAACTTTTCAACTATAAGTGTTCGGAGAATTTTTACCTTTGTGGGTAAGTGAGATGAATCAGGTTTTGGTTTTTTTTCCTAGTTATATCCATAAGACACCAAAACTCCCTCTGATCCATAAAATATGAGATTTCCCTCCACACAACCTGTTTTTCAGCACACAAGCTGGGTGTAAGGGCTGAGTCTCACAAGACCCCCTCTTCCATTTTAGAGGTTAGTCACAAGAACTGGACTGTGACCTATACTTTTAATGCAGGGTTCCTATGGCCTGTCCTTGGGTTCAGTTAATTTGCTAGACTGACTCACAGAACTCAGGGGACAGACTTCATTTCTGTCTACTCACTCATTGTAAAGGGGCACAAATGAATAGCCAGACAGAACACTCCTCAGGGCTGTGGGGCTGCCTCGCCCTCCCTTCATAGGTACACACACCGTGCCCCAGGGATCTCCACTGGCGCCTCCACTGGAGTTCTGCTGCTCGGAAGCTCATCCAAACCTCATCCTTCTCTTTTGGCTCTGTTGTTAGTTGGTTATTGGTTTGCTTGTTTGTTGACACAGAATCTGACCATATTATGGCCAGGCAAGTCTGGAACTCACTCTACAGCTCAGGCGGCCTGGAACTCAAAGTAGGTCCTCCTGCTTCGCCATCCTGAGTCCTGGGGTTACAGGCCTGATTACCTGGTTAGTTGCTTGTGTCTAAGACAGATTCTACATGCTATACTAACTGGGTCTGGCTTCAAAATTCACACCCTACCTGCTCCAACTGTCAAGAGCTGGGATTACAGACCTGCACCACCACACGCAGCCCAAACCGTGTCCTTTTGAGCCTTTTCTGTGGAGGCTTCATTATGCCAGCATGATTGAGTAAATCAGTGGCCATTATGATCAACTCAACCTTCAGACCCACCTTTATCTCCTCCTCAAAGACCGGTTGGTCTTTTTGATAGCCAGTCAGCATTATACCTACTTTAGTCCCAGCTACTGGGGAGGCGGAAGTCAGAGGATCATTTGAGGCCAAGAGTTTGAAGCCAGACTAGGTAACTTAATGAGATTCCATCTCCAAAGGAAAAAGACGTTGAGAGCCAGACCTTGTGGTACACCTCTGTGATCCCAGCACTTGGGAAGTAGAACCAGTAGAAGCAGAGGTTTGAAGTCTTCCTCTAAGACGGAACTGGTTTGAGGCCAGGTTGGGCTACCTGAGACCCTGTCTCAAAATACTGGGAAAAACATACTGTCTAAGGCCACTGGTCCCAATGTTACTAGTCATGTTATTAGCAAACAAAAGACGATCTTAATCACTCCAGAAGTTCCAGAGGCAATAAGGCAAGAGTATAGAGCAAGAATGCATGTCTCTTCATATCACAGTAGCCAAGGCAGCCAAAGAAAAGAATAATCCTTTACCTTGTTCACGTATGAAACCTGACTTTGGTTCCCACAGCCTCAACTGCCTGTAACTCCACCTGCAGGGCATCTGCTACCCTCTTCTGGCCTCTGCGGGGACCAGAGAATACACACAACATACATAAAAGTTACATGTTTTAAGTAAATTTGGTCTGGGAATGGTGGTGTACACCCTTAATCCCAACACTTGGGAAGCAGAGGCAGGCAGATAGATCTCAGTGAGTTTGAGGCCAGCCTGGTCTACATAGTGAGTTGCAGTCCAGGACTACTTAGTAAGATTTTTGTCTAAATAAATAAATACAAATTTGGGGACTGGAGAGATGGCTCAGCCCTTAAAAGCACTGGCTGACCTTCCAGAGGACGCTGATTCGGTTCCCAGCACCCACAAGGCAGCTCACAACTATTTGGAGCTCCAGTTCCAGGGGATCCAATGTCCTCTTCTAGCCCCATGGGCACTATACACGCACATGGTACACAGACCTACATGCAAGTGAAAACACCCATACACATAAAATAAATCTTTTTTTTTTTTAAAGGCATACTGTGAAAGGACCCATTCTATGTAAATTCCACAAGCACCTGCTGAGCACCCACTATAGGAGATGTTATTCTGTCCAAATACTGCTCTGACTTAAATTGCACATCTTTAAATGAAATAATTCCCTTTGGGCTGAGTCTGATGTTTTTTTCTTCTGTGGACCTGCTCTGTGTAAGGCATATGCTCTTTGTTATAATTCTTAGAACCAAGGGATCACATTTCTAACTTCATTCAACAAAGCTTATTTTTCTGAGGTGTATCTGTGTGTGTGTGTGTGTGTGTGTGTGTGTGTGTGTCTCTCTGTCTGTCTGTCTGTCTGTCTGTGTACACGCACACATGAGTATATGCCATTGCATTAGTCACCGGATCGCCCCGGAGCTGGAGTTACAGATGGTTGTAAGCTACCCAGCATGAGTGCTAGGAACCAGACTCAGGTCCTCTGGAAGGGCAGGAAGCACTCTTAGCCACTGAGCCCTCCCTCCAGACCCCTGGAGAGTTTACTGTGTTATTTATCTACTTGGATTATGTGAATTTTAATCACATTCTATATTGGCCGTTGCTTCTCCTCTCAGCCCAATTTTTCAGTCTTTCCGTCCTTGAGGGCCAGCTCTGTAGCTGCAGACTGAGTCCTTATCATATGCAGAGTGACTAGCACTGCGAGGGGAGGACTTCCGTTTCTTGTTCCATGATTGCAGCCCATGATTCCGGAAGGGCAGGTTTTCTAGTGATGAAAGGTACCGGCGGCCCTTGGGCCTTCCAGGCAGTTCAGTGTTTCTACAGTAGGTGGCAGCACCATCCAACTCAAGTTTCTCCAGTTTTAAAGAGAAACAAATACAATAATGGCGCTTCTTTTTCTCCCTCAACCCCGCAACTCCAGGAATGGTCGGCCCTGCGGTGTTCCTGGTCGCTGCTGGATTTATCGGCTGTGACTATTCTTTGGCTGTTGCATTCCTGACCATATCCACGACGCTAGGAGGCTTTGCCTCTTCTGGGTTTAGCATCAACCATCTGGATATAGCTCCTTCGTGAGTACAAATGCAAAGGTTTGATGGGTTGTCTTTCATTTTCTTCCTGACAGTCAGTAAGACAGAGATAACATACACTCTCCCATTTTGGCCATTCATAAGTACAGTTCCTCGGGCTGAAGTAGCACACTGTTGTGTAACCATCACCGCCTACAGTCTCTCGACTCTTAACATCTTCTCCAGTCGGGATTCATTCAGTGACCACTCATGCCACATTTCCCCCTCTTCCCACATCCTGGCAGCCACCATTCTTATTTCTACTTTCCGTGAATTTGACTTCCAGAGGAATGACTTTAAATCTCTTTTGCTAGATTTCAGTTTACACAACTGGTCAATGTTTAAGCCCTGACCTCCCTCCACCTCCACCACGGTGTTCTCCTGCACGCTGCAGTGACGGTGTAACATGAGTCCATGCAGGCCAGAATAAGAGCTCCGCAAAGGCCCATCCTGGGGAATTACCGTGGGGCTTGACACATAGGAGGCTTTGATTGACAGATGACTGACAAAACCTTCTTTGTCAAAGACAAAACTGAGAATTTATTTCAGTTGGTAGAATGCTTGCCTATGGTCGGGAAGCTATAGATTCAGTCTCCAGCACGCATAGACTGAGCACCATGGCTCACACCTGCAGTCCCAGAACTTAGAAGATGAACAAGAAAATCGGAAGTTCAGGGCCAGTCTAGGACACAAGAGACCATGTCTCAATAAAACAATAAATACAATAGGGCCAGCTGGATGGCTTAAAGGCTTAGAGGCATCAATATTTGCCAACAAGATTGATGACCTTGAGTCCAAATTCTGGAACCCATGTAAAGATAAAAGAAAACAGCTAACTCTACAGAATTGCCCTCTGACTTCCAAATGCAGTGTGTGTGTGTGCGTGTGCGTGTGCGTGTGCGTGTGCGTGTGTGTGTGTGTGTGTGTGTGTGTGTGTGTGTGTGTGTGAGATGGATGAGCAAGTGGAGGCAAGAGGAACAAGACTTCAGGTTCAGCCTTGGCTGCAGTTCAAGGCCAGTCTGACCCGCAGGAGAATCTGTCTCAAAAAACAAAACAAAAGAATTACAAGGAGTAGAGCCATTGACTTGCCCCATGACATTTAGAGCATTATGTTCATGTAAACACAAGTGTCTATACTTGGTTGCTTACTAATCACGTACACAAACATTATCTTGTTTGTCCTAGAAGCTGTCCAGTGAGGTAGGCGGAAGCTCTTGACTTACTCTATAGAAACTCAGGTTCAGAGAAATTAAGTGGCTTATCTTGTGCCACACAACTAACAAATGCTAAACCCATAATCTAAACCTAAAATTCTTTAAGCCCAAAATTGTTTCTACATCTACCTCTCTGAAAATATTCTTTGAGCCACAGTTCTAAATCCCAGATGAGAAGATAAAAGAAAGGGCTAGATTGAGTACTTTACCCCCAGAAGATTTGGGGTACTTCATTTATTAAAAGCAATGAATATTTATTTATTTTTAGAGTAGCGCGGTAGTTTTTCATACTCTTTGAACCACCCCAGTCACACCTAGCTAGACATCAGAGCCTCTAATCCCGAGACTCCTCCCTGTTCTGCTCCATTCAGTGAACACCAAGAAAAGCCCTTGTCCATATAGCTCCCAGACCCTGGGCAAACCTCACCAGGCCTGGTGGCACACTTCTGTAATCCCAGCCGTAGGGAAGAGGTTGGTGCAGGAGTGTCACAGGAAGTTCAAAGCCGTTCTGAGCTACATATTGAGACTCTATTTCAAATTTTTTACAGAAAGAACCTGAGGGGACCTTTAAAGTTATTTTAATCTGCTCTCATATAAAAAAAAATTTTTTTAAAGTCCAAGGAAGTCAAAGTTGGGGCTTAGTCTTGGCGCTCAGCTGGTAAAGCGTTTGCCTATGTGTGTGAGGAATTGAGATCAATCGCCACTGCTGAAAAGGAGTATCATTGAATCTTCTCAACAAGGTCCTTCAGACTGGACACTCTTACAGCTCCACATATGACCTCTGCTGGCAGACACAGATCACAGAGCACTAGCCAGATGTGGTGGCTCACACTTCTAATTGCAACACTTGCCCCTCATTTTTAGTCACAAAAGTAAATACCTAGTGGTGGAAGAATTTACAATATATTACCAACTTTAACAGTAAAATATAAAGGGAAGAGTTCAGTGAACTTTTCAAACTAGGAAATGTTTGTTATAAGTACATATTGGTGAGGTATAAACTAAAGGAGTTTAATACTGAAAGAAACAATACTAATTGCAGCCAGACGGTAGTGGTGAACACCTTTAATTCTAGCACTAGGGAGACAGAGGCAGGCGGATCTCGGTGAGTTCAAGGCCAGCCTGGGCTACAGAGTGAGTTCTAGGAAAGGCACAAAGCTACACAGAGAAGCCCTGTCTCAAAAAAAAAAAAAAAAAAAAACTAATTGCAGGCCAGTGTTGGGTGTTGGTGATGCATACCTTTAATCCCAGTACTAAGAAGGATGAGGCAGGTGGATCTCTGTGAGTTCAAGGCCAGGCCAGCCTGGTCTACAAAGCGAGTTCCAGGACAGCCAGAGCTGTTACACAGAGAAGCACAGTCTTGAAAAAAACAAACAAACAAACAAAACAACTAATTGCAAGGAAACTTAGTTGAATTTAGTGACAATTTGAAAGATAACTGTAAAAATAAAGAACACTTCAAGTTGGAAAAGCCAAGGCACTAGAAGCTGTCCCTTTGGGAAGGGGACAAAGGGATGTCCATTTTATTAACAAAGAACTTCATAGTGACTGGGGCATCCCTGGCTACATACCTAGTTAGTTCAAGGATAGCCTAGGCCATATGAGACCCTGTCTCAAATAACAATAACTACTTGGCAAGGCGTAGAGAGCTGTTGATTTTTCCAGTTGTCAATTATTGCACTCCCTGTGTGTAAACACAGTTGTCTAGTGCTTGACAACTTGTACGAAACATTATCCTGTTTATCCTGAAAGCCGTCTAATGAGATAGGTGGGTGTTGTTGACCCATTTCCAGGCTGAGGAACCTTCAGCATTTAAAGTAGGAACCAAGCCCCATTACCCAAAACAGACTCAAGAAGATAGAGAATAATTTTATAATTGAGGGTCCAGGCCCATGGCTCAGTGGTAGAGAACTTACTTAGTGTGTGTAAAGCCTGGGTCCAGCCTCCAGTACTACAAACAATAAAGACAGGAAATACAGTGATTAATGTTGTTCCTTACGCTAAGAAAAAGGAATCTGGGAAACAGTGCAACTGAAGCATGTTTCTGATTGTGTAACTTACAGGTGCATATAGTTAGTTACAAGTTGGATTTTTAGTAATCCTGTCAATATGCTCTACAGACCAGGGGCATCAGCTGAGAGCTGATGGGGATGTAGACCCCTGAGCTCCACCACAGACCTACTAACGAGGATGCACACTTTGAGGTCCTTGGGTGAGCCCCTTGCACGCTGGAGTCGGAGGCTCTGGCCCAGCTCTGTCCTCGCACCCCCTCAGCAAGCAGTTGTGGAGTTTGTGTACTCCCATTTAGTACCCCAACTTTAGTACCGACACTAAGAAAAAATTCAGTGCCTGCTTACCAGATTGGTTAAAGTCAGGAATGAACCAATTAAAGTTAAGCAGATGGAGTATAGTGTAATTTATTTTTTCAACGAATGCTAGGTATCTCTTTGTGCAAGCTCTAACAGACGCAACCTGATCAATGGTGGGAGACAGAAAGAGCCACACAAATAAAGCAACCGTTTTTTTTGTTCCAGTGATTAGAGGAGCATGTCCATAATCCTAGCATTCAAAAGGCTGATGGCAGGTTGAAGTCAGCATGGCCTACGTGGTGAGGTCCTGTTTCATAAAAGCAAAAAAGTATGGCTGGCCCTTTAAATAACACTGAAGCCTGAAGAACCAGCGCAAAGAGGTTAGCCAAGCAAAAGAAACAAATATCAGCCAGGCTTGGTGGCACAGGCCTTTAATCCAGGGAGGCAGAGGCAAGCAGATCTCTAAGTTCCAGGCCAGCCTGGTCTACAGAGCTCGGGATAGCCAGGGCTACACAGAGAGACCCTGTCTCAAAAAAGAAAAAAGAAAAAAAAAAAGAAAGAAAGAAAAGAAAAGAATGAGTATATCTATGCTCTTTCTAAACCGGATGTAGCCCTGTGGTAGAATACTTCCCTCACTAAGAATGAGTCCCAGGGTTCCCAGCACCACAGCAGAGACAGAGGAGCTACAGAAGAGGTGAAAGAAAGAAATTGGTGTGTCTTGGTCCATCACAACAAAAGAGGCTTAAACAATTCAACTTTATTTCCATCTAGTTCTGGGACACATTGATAAAGAAAAAAATTGGGATTTGTTCTTAAGATAAAAGAAACCTAACCCAAGCATGTTAATAAGCTCACAGAAGCAAGCCAGGGAAATATTACACACACACACACACACACACACACACACACACAGCATCGAACCTAGGGCTTTGCACATACTCTACCCCTTGTCCGTGAGGGAAGGAAAAAGAAAATGGTCTCGAGTTCTTTGGCACTCCTCTCACATAAAGGTGGTAAGGACACACAGAATCCCTGCAGCAGAGCCGCAGCTCCTAGATGAGCCCGTGTGCATCCAGAAGCCAGAAGAGAGCACCAGCTGGGACCCTCTTCCCCGGACCTTCTGAGCCTCGAGCTCACGTCTTGGCTAGGCCAGCAAGTCCCAGCGATCTTGTCTTCTGCACTTGCTCTGAAGCTGGAGTTATAGGCATTTTCAGGGATGCCCTGCTTGTCTTATCTCCTGGGGGCTGGGATTCAAATTCTCAACTTCACCATAGAATGCTCTTCACCACTGAGCCATCTCTCCTGAGCCTTCACAGAGCTGATCTTACTATTAGATAACGATGTGTGAAGTACTTATAAACCCTTCCTCATTAGGTCTCCCAGCAGATAGTCAATATTCCTATTAACATGGAGTGTACTCATGGTATTTTCCAAGATTTTGTTTGTTTGTTTGTTTGTTTGTTTGTTTCAATTTGAAACAGGCCAGCCTCAAACTTGTAGCGATCCCCTCCCTCAACATCCTGCCTGCTGGGATTGTGCTATGGGTGAAACCATGATTTGTCTGTGGTTAGTTTTGTTGCCCGGAACCTGGATAGATTGTCAGTTGCTATGTCAACAGGCATCTCGAATTTCAGTACCAGAGAATACTGACTGGATCTGTCAGCGTGTTTCCCCATCAGTCTTCTGGGACACTTCCTGGCCAAGGATAATATAAATAGCCGAATGGGCTTCTTGGTGCTGACATTTAGTACTGCGTGGCATTCCTCCTCCGTACTTAGGATCTGTCGGTAAAAAGGCCTGACAGCATCGCAGCTGGCTCCTCCTCCTGCCAAGGTGCTAATGGTTTAAAGAGGGGGTGGGTGGGGAGAGGTCCTGCCAAGCTTGGTTAATTTAGGATGTGCTCCCTGGGGAGAATGAGCCAAAAAGATCTTGGCTTAATTATTATATGGTTTGTGTATGGGCTTAAAGCATAAAAATACGGATGTTTGTAGATAG